ATATGTTAATGCAGGTCAGATATTATATTTATGCTAGCCAGATATTATGGTAATGCAGGCCAGATAATCTTATTTCGTGATCATATTAAAAATCCAGCGTGTGCCCATATAATGATTTACATAGTACATTGGACACCCAAACATCATGATCACAGCTAATTTTATTTGTGATTTAAATAGTAGAACCGATTAATTATAACTCTGGTCAAATTTGCAGATCGTTTGGTCAATTCCAGAGTTTTATGATCCAAATCTGGCCAAATTGTCTACAAATTTGACCGGAGTTACAGTAACTGGTTATTTAGATCACAATCAAAATTAGCCCATATGAAGCATGACAAATCAGCAAAGTGAATGATAAATCAGTGAAAGTGCAAAGGAGGTAAAACTCGTGAAAATGCAAGACAAAATTAGTATTAGTAAAGTGCTTTGTAGCGGTATTGACAGTGCCCCATCTCTAGTTTTAATCTTTAGATCAATCTACATACGTACATCAAATTTCCATTTAAATATTAATCAATCTTTTTTTTGATCTTTATTATGTAAAAAATTATATCACTTTATGCGACAATTTACCAATAATTTATACTTTCAACATAACATGCTAAATTGCATAGTATGATTCAACTTTTCACGTAATAAGTAACTACTTTGCCCATCTTATCTCTAGTGTAGTTAGACATTCATATGATTAACTAATGTTAGTCAATTGCTTTGATAACTTATTTATATTAAAGTATGAAAATCTTATATAACCAAAAACTAAGATTTTCTATATTATAAATCAGCGAAAAACGGGTTGTGCCATAGAGAAAAGTTTTCATTTTTTTTAAAAAATTGAACCTTCTTTTAAAAATTAAAACAATAACAGAAATCAATTATCGAAATGTATTTATTTGTCTTCTTGTAAAGACTCAATAGTGTGTAAAACTTCTGTCATTATCTGATATTGTGAAATAATTTAGACCTGCAAATATTAACTTAAAAGGTTTCATATTACCAGATGAAACAAATTTATCATATTTATATATCAGATATGAAGCAAGGAACTTTAGAAGAATCCTTCAATGAAAGAAAAATTGATTTACCTAAAACTTTATACACAAGTAAAAACAATAATTCTTTTCTGTAAGTATTCTTTCAAAAATCTTTGGTATAGTATGCAAATATTTTCTTAGATATTTAACAATTTAGATTACATGCGAAAAAAAAGAGTAACAAATATCCAAATAAGTCAAAAAAAAACTCTTTTCAAGTTTCAGTAAAAACGCAATTATAGTATCATAGGTGGGTAAAAAAAAATATTTAATTTTTATATTAATTTTTTAATATTTATTAGTTTAATTAATACTTTCACTTCAATGAAGACGCAAGAAAATTTATAGGTACTTTTTTATATAATTACGACGTTGGTTCGTTACATTTTTCAGGCAACGATTAATAGCAGTTACATCGGCATGAGCGAGTAAAGGTGCTAATAAATATCCTCTATATAAATACAGCTCTAACCTTTGATTCAATTATTGAATACTGCAATACCTTGATCAGAACAATACGTTAAGCTCTCTAGATCACTGGGGGAATAACTGCATTACATAATACAATTAATTTATTTATAATTGTTGTACGCCGGAATGGAATCATTGTAGATTTAGATACTATTTAGATTTAATTCGAATAAACTTAGATTATAATAAAATTCTAAATTGTAGTCAAGAATTCAAATCCAATTTATAATAAAATTCAAATGAATTTTAAAATTATTTTATAATGTATATTAATTTTGGAATTTAAGTCACTAAGATTTTATTCATAACATGGCATATCGCAAATAAATTAAATGTTATATTTATGATTATGTACTGTAAAAAAAAAAGTTCCAATGTTGTGGTTATAAATTATTATTAAATTTAAAACTAAAAAAATTCATATAAGATCATAAATTTGCAGTTTAGGATATTAAATCGATAATTATTGTCGTGGCTGAAACTGGAAATGAGGAACCTTCATTTAAAAATATAAACCTACCAAAATTCGACTTATTCTCTTTTATTATCAAAACTAACCATAAACCCTAACTTAACTATAAAGAAAAATGCACTCGTTTCCAGTTTCAGTTGTAACAATCATTTTAACTATCAAGTCAGTTACCTAATGTTAAAATTTTGTTCGTTACCCCAAAACCTCTTCGATCTCATTTTAAGAATCACCTATCTTTTCTGAAACTACGTCGCTGTTTCTGCATCAAAATTCCAAGAAATTTTTAGGTGTCTCAGAATTTATAAAATGACTAATTATTAAAGTCAAATTACACAATACTTACCATACATATAAATTATGCTTATATCTTGACTAAATGACAGTCGACTTGAGTCAACTCAGAGGTAAAAATCGATGCAAGTCAGTCGAATCGAGCGTTATAAACATACTTATTTTAGACAATGTTAATTACAATCAACTAACAATATATACCCTTAAGTATTTTTAGATCTTTGTAATTTAACTCTCGGTAAGACTTTTGAATTTCGTTAAGACTTTCGGTTTTGTACTTTCGGCATGATTAATTTATCAAAAGTACTTCGGTATATCAAAAAAACATTGAGAACCTAAGCTTTCTATTACTTCAAGTAAAATCAGTAAAATCGGATGGTTAATAAACGTAAATACGTATCCAATTTTACTTGAAGTAACACAGATCTCAGGATTTTATGATTGAACCAAAAGGGAAGATGATGTTAAACAACAATTTAACTTTAAACGACATCAATACCTTTATACTAATTTTTAATAAAATCTTATTTACATTACATCGATGTAAATATTAATCACGTGCATACGCGCATAATGCAGGATAGTTCAAAATGCGCATTTTGTCCATCTCGTTATTGGTATTTTTATGTATCGTGGAAATGAGGAACATAACCATTAAAATGAAAAATGATGTAATAAAAAAAACTAAATGATATTGACGTAATAAAAAAGACAATTAAAATAAAAATAACCTTATGAATCGATATTGTTGTTGTATGTTTTTAATACGTAACATGTTAGCATGTGTAATTAATTATGTATAATGCCATAATGTTTAATGCGTAAAAACGAAATAAATAATTACAAAGAGAATTCCTTTCTTGGATATTATGATGCATACTTTTTATGTCGACCATCCTTAACTGAAAGTACACTATGATATAGTGCATACATGTACATATCGTCAACCACAAGAACCCATGCCTTCCCAATAAATTATCTAAGTAGCTGCGCAAATCATGGATGTAAATATGTATGTACGTAAATTTAAAAAACGTGACAAACTAGACGAATATACGTAGAAAGTAAAATCATTAAAAATTACGCTTAATAACGAGAGATATGTTTTTTTAAACAATTAATATATATTTAAAATAAATATTTATTTAAAAATATCAAGACATTAGATTACAGTGTTATAGAAACATCCAATTTAAACAAGGACTTTGTTCAAAACTTCAACTATGACATTATCACTTTGTAAAAGTAACAATTTTAAATATGTGACGTGAACTTTGTTACATCCGAAAAAAAAAATAACCATCTAAACTAATTCATTTAAACACAAGATTCATATGATAAATAGAATCTATATAAATTTGAAAAAGGATATGTTCATGTCATTTGATGAGATGGGAGATGGTTCTTTTTTTTTTTAATAGAAAAGGAAATTATATTTACGAATAAAATGTCTATTACATGGGCAAAATAAAAAATAACAATAGTAACTTGAACAAACAATTTGAATAAAAGCTTAAAGACCATGAGATTATAAAACATGATTAGAGCGTATTACCATCTTTTTTTTTTTGGTTTCCGGACTATACGATTAATAGAGAGATGTGAAAAAAAGAATATGTTTACTATAAAAATAAAAACAATAAAACAAAGTCTATAGAAAATTGAATAAAAGTTTAAATAAATTAAATAATAGTCGCTCTTTTCTGTCAAGAAAAAAAAAGAAAAAAAAATACATATATATAATTTTTTTTTCTTTATAAAGTTTAATGTAAAGCTGGATTGAAAAAATTGGCCATATCTATGGGTCGATCTTTGAGATAATCAGAGAGCACATTAATATAAGGTGGATGTGAGTAATCTTCAAACCAAGAATCAATATATAGTGAATCTAAGACAGCTTTTGTATTTTGTAAGAAAAGATTCATCGATTTGGCACCAATAAATATCCATATATTAAGATGTTTTAAAGTAATAGGTAAATTTTTTCCTAATTCTGGCCAAATCTTTTCAAGGTCCTTTTCTTGTTTACCTAATGAGAATAAACTAAGAACCTCTAATCTACATCCTGGAACGTTAAGGATTTCTATCAATGAAGGAATTTCATCTGCACCAAGAGCAATGCCAAACTTTTTCAATTTTGGTTGCCATTTAATAATGCTTTGTATAATAGATGTAGATAATCCATCATGTTCTTCATCTTCCCATGGTTGGTAATGTACTTCTTCCAAGTCTACAGGATTTTTTTGAATTGCGGAAGCAACAAGATGACCCCAGAGAAGTGAAGATTCTACAACTCTTACTTTATTAAGATTAGGAAATTCAGCAATTAAAATTTGATCCAATTGACAACCAGGACCGTTGGTACAACGACGAATATCTAATTCTTCAAGATTTGTGCAAATAGTCAATGCATTAATAGAAGTTTCACCAGGGAAAGGAATTCCATAAAGATTAAGTGAAACAAGTGTGTCAGCTTGACTTGCAAGTGGAGTTAAAACACTTGGAGAAAAACCATTAACAGTATCATAGCACATAAGAGAGAACCCTCGTAATTTTGATTGAGAAAATATCAAAGAAGACAAATATTGTAAATCCTCAAAATTACGAAGACCAGCTTCGGACGATTTTATCACGGATAAATATTCTATATTTTCAGCTTGTTTAAGAATTGCGTCGAATAAAAAGGGATCAGAAGTGTAACGGATGGTTAAATCTTTAATATTTTGAAGAGATAGATCAACTCCCAAAGAATTTTCCATAAGAGGTGATGTATGTTTTGTTGGTCGATCCAATTTTAAAGAAGTGATAGTCAAGTTATTTCCAAAAAACAAACGACACAAAGCACAATATACCGAAAGGGCAGAATTATTAATTCCAGAAACACTATGAAATAAATAATTTAATATAAATTAATTATTGAATAATCAAAATAAATCATAAAAAAAGACATACCATTGAGAAGATATAGAACTACGCCTTTTTATCGATTGTCGCATGGTCCAATTTTGAATAGAAGAGTAAAGACTTTCTAAACTAAGATGCGGAATGAAAGAAGCGTAATCAAAAGTAGGTGGCTTTTTGGTTTGAGCATTTAATTTAATACCATTTTGAACGAGAACGGATTTTTCAGCATCAGAAAGACTTGCGACAAGAATGCTTATGAGCGAAGGGGCAGGTGGTGTAGATCGTTTAAAAGGATGTGACCATAAATAAGGAATTGCAGTTTCACACCAAAGTCTATTAACAAGAATACAAGAATGAAGAGACTTGATATCATCTTTGAGAAGATTAAAAATATCATATAGGCAATCCGCAGGAAGACCAACGGAATGAGATTGTCGTTTACGACCAAAAAATCGGAATAAAGATATCTTGCGTTGTAGGGCACTCATTTATTCGTAAAATTTTCTTTTTGATTTTTTTATAAAAAAAAAAGTTCACCTCCTAAATTAATAATAGTTGGATCGAAAAAAAATAAATATGAACAAAACAACAAAAAATTAAAAAGTCGAGAAGAGAGGTAAGCATACGAGGGTCAAAACCAGTGACGATAAAACCAGTCTCGCACGAGTTTTGTTTTTTGTGACCATTCATATAATTGTCATGAACCACAAATACACATAATAATATTAAACGCAGATGATCATCGTAACTGCTTAATGTTACACTACTCGTGAGTTAGATTCTTTGTCTTTCATACAAAATAAGACAAGAATAAGTATCGTTTATATAGGATAAAGTAAGTAAATTAATTTTGCACCAAGAATTAAGAGAAAGGATCTAGTGAAACCAGAAATAACAACAAGGATAATACAAACAATGATAAAAAATTAATATAATACAGTTTTAATGAAACTTATTTTAATTCATTAATTTTGTTCGAGAATTTTTTTCCTTAGGACACAGACCTAGTTTGAATTACGGATGTCAATTCTACCTGTCCTACATATAAAGGAAGGATTGATTAATGTATACTTTGTTGTACCGCATTTTGAACTACTTGAAGTTCAGTAAATCTTATGACCCTACGTAGCTAGACTAATTAAAATAAGCATGCAAATTTGCACAAATCATCTTGAAAAAGAGAAATAATTGTACTATCCTCCAAAAAAAACCGAAATTAAAAATTGCTGGGAATTATAAATACGAAAATTTTTATTAAAAAAATCATTAGCTCATCTTGTTTATTCATTTATACACAGGTAATTACATATGAACAAGTTCTTAACCGATTGTTTTCCTTAACGTTAAGAGAATCGAAAAACCTTTTTTTCACTATTCTTAACTTCCTTTTGAGACATGTACATTGACATGGATGGCAATATGATAAAAAAAAAGGAAAAGCATGCAAAAGTAATTCTTATCCAACGAAATATCAGATTTTTTTTTCCCTTCAATGAACCTATAGTAAAGTCATGAGGTAATATAAATGGTATGAAATGCATGTAATCTACAAATTGGTTGGATCTTCAGGGATAATACAAAGTAAATAATTACTGCGAAAAAAAGGGGACAGCATTTTGACAATTGCTTTAATTAATACAATAGGACTTGACGCAATAGGATTTGACGTTTAACGAATGTACTTTTAAAGACGGGGGTGCATTTTGTTTGGTCCAATTAAGTTATATTTGTGACCAAAGTCACATAAATAATAAAATTGTTTTTTTTTCTATAACGGACAGATGAAATAGAAAATAACCTTGCTTTTGATACACTAAACTTTATTTTGAAATTGTTTGAAATTGTTTGAAGAGAGTAACACAATCCAGTATTATAACCTAGCGCCAGAATTAATAATGACTATCGTAGATTGTTCAAAAAAGCTTTTTGGTTATAAAAAGGGTAATATTAAAGATAAAATAAATATAATTATCTTAAATTGGTATTTGTTAATCGTTTAAATTTGTAACAAATGTTAAATTCAGGACGGCGCCCAGGACTCCAGAACTGGTTCACCGAATGTTGCACTTACTACAAGGTATTACCGTTCCAGGCTTCTTCAAACCATAAATTTGTGATCAAACGTTATAACAGGAAATCATCATCTTGTCTTTGAAATCCTGAAATTTTATCAATACCCCAAAAATTAACATCCATTGATTTCACAATACCATACATTAAATGACAATAAGGCCTATTATTATTCACGCCATTTAAATGAAACATGTGGTATCAGTTTTTTTTTAGTACATGAAACAATATTCAATAAAAAACATAATTGGAATTATTAACTCTCCAATTTTAGACTAGAGTTAAACGATCATTGAAACAATTTAACATCGATATGGTTGCTATACAGAGTAAATACTATTTTGGCTATAATTTATGATTGGTTGCTTATATTTCTAAAAAATATTTTTAACGAAATTTTAAATTACGTTACAACACCTAATATTTATTATTCGATATGTTTAGTATGGTCTAGATATATATATATAAAATTTTGACTCACGCTATGAGTAGAACTTAGACTTTAGAGAAAGCTTTTAGGCGTAAATCATTTTACCATACAATAATTAATATACATGTAAATGCAAGCTCTAAAGCCAGACTAAGGACTAGATTTGTTTTACTATCTAACAATAATCAAATGTTAACGCCAATAAATATCAGTCAGACGATATGTTAGTCAAATATATGTAAATTTATAAATCAACTTTACAAACTTTTTTTTTTGTCTTTATTCGATTATTAAATTTAAAACACTGAATACTTATTCTTCAGCATTTAAAGATTCTTTATATAAAGTTTAAGTACAAATTTTAAAAAAACAAAAATAAAAATAATCTTAATCCTAAAATTGAACGATCCTTTAATGCATTCCCTAAGTCGAAAGGCTGACCTACGGTAATTCATGATAAAATTATATTATACAATGCTTTATATTGAGTTAGTCTCTTGACGTAAAGTACATATCCCAATCTTATGATTAAGATTACGTACAGTGTTTTATCTTTCTTTTAACTAGTGTTCAAGTTCCATACGTATAAGAAATCTTTAAATACTAAATACATAATAAGTTTAAATCAACTTATATTTAATTCTAACCGAATTAAAAAATAAAAAAATTTTTATTTTTATAAACTTATAAAGTTTAAGGACTCACGTCGATTTATTTGACCAAATACAATTGTATACGACATATCTGATGATTGATACAAGATTAGATTGCATTTACTAATTATGTCTTAACTTTATGCAGTCCTGCAACCAGTAGGAACAGCAGAAAAACGAACAGGTGCAATGTCCAGTGATACCTATGCTCATATTAAAGGAGTCAAAAAAAGGAATAGTATAAAGAATTAAAGGATACACAATTACAAGAAAAATTAATCATTTTCTATTATGGCAAGTGATCGTTAAATTCAATCCTTTAAGTATAAAGTCGTCACAAAAAAGTCGATTCGTATATATGATTTTTACTTACTATATATGCTGTAGTAATTTTAGCGAATTTTAAACAGATGATATAGCCTAATAATTTATAATTAAAGGGATTGAATCCGAGTGGAAGTCGTTATTAAATGGATACTCGAAAAAATAATAAAATTGTTTCAAATCTGAATAAACATTTTATAAAGATCGTTACAATTATAAATAAAAAGGTATGTAGCAATTTTATTTTATTTAAACATTAAAAAAAATTTATTAATTACTATTTTGAAGGAAGTTTTTGATTTAATCCTTTTTAAGCAGGACCACGATTTTTCGTAAACAAATAAAAGAAATGAAACTATAGCTTTGTTTATAGTGACATAATATTAGTCTTTACAAAATCTTATTTTATTATTATAGCATTAAATCTACTTATACTGTAGTTTATCTATAAATCTAGCATCAGTCTAAAAAATTTCGCATGTTCGATTTTTTACATCATCTTGAAAGTTGGTTGGTTGGTCAACGAAATTTTTTTAGATTGGTGACTAAAACTGCTAATTAATAAAATGATCACCGACTTAGATTGAGATACAGTAACGGTAACGATATATATGAAAAATATGCAGTGTAATTATTATGTACAGATATGAATTAGAATATTGAATCAATGTTTTCCACGAATATGATGGCTTGTGCAGAGATTTGCAGTCAACCTGATTCGGTGATATGATGTGTATTGCCAATAAATTGCATTGTTTATAAAAGTGTGAAATTTAAAACGAAGTCGAATGTTGTGAAATCGAGAGCTATATAAAAAGTTTTTAATAACGTTATTATGTAAAAAAAAAAACTAGATCAAAACGGGAAATTTAAAACCAATTTTCTTATAAATATTGTGTGTCAGTTTATAATTTGCGTTAGATCAAAATTTATTATTTTAATCTGGTACAAATTAGTTTGACGCACAACATATCTATCAAAAAAATTGCATCTTCTATAAGTGAATTCAAAAAAAATGAGATTAAAATGCAAGAATTATACTATTTGTAAAATTTTACTTGGTGAATATCGAAAATACAGTAATACCATTAAAATCAAAAAAAAAAGTGAAGAAATATTGCAATAGTCAGTGTTATATTAATAGTTTTCTATGGCTTTCTACGTAGTTATGATATAACGATGGTCAAATATGCTAAAAGAAATTTTTTTTTTGCAAATTTTGAATATTATTTGATACATTCAAGAAAACAAATAATTTTTAAGAGATTCATTACACTGCAAGTAATTTCATTTATTGAATTGTAAGAATGTAATTGTAATCAATTATAAGAATGTAATTGTAATCAATTATAAGAATGTAATTGTAATCAACTATAAGAATGTAATTGTAATTAATTATAAGAATAGTAAGTATTCTTCCATCAAAATTCCCCATCTATTGTTTGCCTAACTTGAATCAACATGCAATTCGGTAAAAATTCAACTCTACGCACGAACAAATATCAACAGAAAGCCAGATTTGACGATGTAAATAAGTATATAATTGATACTATTATTGTCGAGATATAACTTCTACCTTAAGAACCATGATATCGCTTCACAAGATGTACAACACTATCTTTCTTGATATTGTAATCTGAAATGTAACGATGATCTTCTAGTTGTTTACCAAGGTGAATCAATCGAGGGCTAAAACCTAAATAGAAATTATTATTAAAACGTATGTCTCTTTTCCCTTTGTATAAAAAGAGAATTCGTTCCCACCATAACTGCACAATCTCGACCTCTCAAGAGGTTAAGATCTCATGGTTCATAAGAGGCAATTATATTATAAAAATTCATGACTTAGTAAAAATAGGTTATGTAATATATTATTAGATATAATTACTTGTTATGAACCACGTACACGGTTAATGTTTATTATCGTTATGTAAACTGTAATTTCTAAAATGATATATACCTTCTATTTCTCGGATCTTTTTTTTGACGTCTTTAACTTTATAATTTTTATTAACTTCGATAGTGATTCTCTTATCTTCTAAAGTTAATATAGTGATTTTAAAAACATCAGAGGGTTCCGAATTGTCAAATAAACTTCGCAGTGAGCTCGGTCTGTAAAGATTCCTTCTTAAAAGATAAGGATTTGAAGCATTTCCACCAATTGGACCGTCACGAAGTTTAATTTTGACCAATTTAGTTACAAGAAAATTTTCGACGAATTTAGTTTCTTTCTTACAGATCGAACAAGATTTCTTATTTGTCAGTCTTTGAGCACAATCTGGACAAAAAACTTTGTTACAGCATTGTGATACTAGAGGTTTATCTCTTATATCTCTACACACGATACATTTAAGATAATCACTAAGATCCATCTTGAACTATTTCTCTAAAGATTTTGAATAGATAAAAAAAGCAATTTTATTTACCTTTTATATAACAATGATGGGATGCGGTGATTTATTGTTAACATGATTCACAAGTTAAGCTCAAAATTTTTTAGTATGCTCAAGTAGTATAGTAAATTTAATTAAGATTGAATAGTATTAACTAATTACAGAAGTATATTAAAATAATTGTGTAAGAGGTTACATTAATCATGTTAAGCGTACGTAGATGATGAAGTCTAATGATGTCTGATGAAAGTACTTTGCAGTTGATGAAATGACGAAACGTTAATAATACTATTGACTAAATCATGTTATTTGTCATTTCGTCAGGTGAAATAATTTGATTTGCGACTGTGATGGCTACGTAATTATCAAAATGAATTTGTATAAGGTTCTGTTGGGCATGTGTTAATAAAGTATATTGAGTCAATATAATAGGGTTATTTAACTAAGGTTGATATGGCCGTAGTAATTTGAATCGATCTTAACTGGTTCAATTGGCTTAAGATATTAAAGTATTTCCGTTGGCTGTTGGCTCATGCTAATAGAATTTGTCGGTTCAACCGAGTCAACCGAGTCAACCGATTAGCCGTATAACAGTCTTCAAATCCAATTCGTCAATTATTAAACCGCATTATTCGTGCATCCCCGGATTTACACTTGGCCCAATTATTCTCCCAAATTGTATTTTCTTTTATGACAAGAATTCTTGGTATTAACTTCATTTTTAAGGCTCTCTGATAAATTGGGACCTTTTCATATTTTCGCCAATTTTCTACTTATACTTTCAATTATATAAGGTTCACCATGAGGTTTTGGTATAATTCGCTGACAATCTGTCTCAAGTTAGGCTGATTATAAATCAAGCCAACCCTAACCTAAGTCGGGCCAATCCGTCCAAAATTAATTGTATCATGTATATTTTTACTGTACAATAATAAAATATAGGGATAAAGAAAATAAAAAGGGTTCTTTCGTTGCTAGAAGTACAAATATACAGGCAGTTATAAATTAGAAACTACTATTATAGTTCTCTTGAATTTATTAATAAATATACAAACTATGAATATGGAAATCATGGCAATCATACCTAAAGATGTTATTGGTTTATTCAGTTCTATTATTTAATCAGTTTTTTATAATAGTTAAGAGGTAGTCATCTTTGAAGGATTAAAAAATAACAAATGTCATAATAAACAAAATCAGAATTTAATTTTTTTTTATTAAGTAAATCTTTTTTGACTTCTAATAAAAATTGTAGGTCTGATTTTTCTGTTTCTAATAGTAGTAAAATCTTTTTTTTTTGGTATTAAGGTGAAGTCTTGCTTCTATTTTTATTCGTAGTCATTAAGTAGTAACTACATGAAGTTACTGGATACAAAAAGAAGTTCTATATATGCTATGGTTGAGATTAATACTTGCAGTCAGGGTTAACTATAAATTGTTAACTATTAAATTATAATTCTAAGTAATAAATATATTATATACAAGAATAAGAGCTTAGATATATTTAGCTATAGCTTAAACCTACTAAAGTGATTAAGGTTCACCTAGATTAGTTAAAATTTTTTAAATAATATTCATTATTCTAGTATATATTAGTAAGTTACTTATAAATTTTACTAACTATTTACATTATCAGAAGTTAATTAAATTATTATAAAGAAAAGAAATCAAAGATAAGATAAATTAAATAAGAAATAAAGTATAATTAAAAAGATAAAAAGTAGTATTAATTGAATAAGCAAATAGATAAAGAAACTTATCAGAATTATAAAAATATAACTAAAATAAATAGTATAAATTGAATAAGTAAATAGATAAAGAAAAGTTAATAGAAATGAATGAATATAGTTAGAAAAAAAGACTATTATTGAGTTTATTAATAATTTTAAATATATTGAAAGTATAAATAAAGTTAGTTTTTAATATTATAGATATAACAATATTAAGTTTTTTAATAATATATTAGTTTGTTTGATCAAAGTATAACTTGATAAGATTTTTTTTAGTTGAGAAATAGTTGATTTAGAGATTTGGATAATGTTGTAGTAAATAATAATTCTAATTAGAATTTATAAATTATTTATTTGAGAGAAGACTTTATTTAATGCTTCTTTAAGATTGAGATTAATAATTTTATTGTTTGTTATTGCAGATTTAAAGTAAACTTTAAAATAGTAATAAAAAAAATAAGATATATATTTTGAATTAATAGATATATTATCTAGTTGGATAAAGTTTTATTCAAATAGGTCAACTAGTTTATAAAGATTTTTAAAAAATAAGGTATATAAAATGTTACTAAAGTGAATGTAAAAAAATTTAAAGATAAATATATATATTATTAGATAGATATAGAATTAAAAAATTATTTAAGGGATGCAAATCACTAACTCTTTCCGACGATCACTTGTACCAAATCCTTTCTAAACAAAACTGCTCTTTTCTCAAAT